TAAGCGCCTCCCCCGAATAAGCGCCTCCCCCGAATAAGCGCCTCCCCCGAATAAGCGCCTCCCCCGAATAAGCGCCTCCCCCGAATAAGCGCCCCGTTTTAGACGTGAGAATTTTGATAAGCGCCGGGGCGCTTATTCGAGTAATTAAAAAATCGTTCTAATGACAAGCGTCCCTCGCTCTGACTCTCAAAAGAAGAAGTGGAAAAGGAGCCAATCACAATTCAGAAGCATTTCATGACGTTACATTTGATTGGTTAGTGATTGCGGTGAGTACGAGTCGCGATGAAGGAAGTAAAAAGTGAGCCATTCCCAAGACCTGTATGTACCAACTGTTGAACTCCCGTGTACGACTTTGCATAGAAACAACCATGGCTCCTGGTACTTTTGCGATCGCTCACAAAAAAGTGTGGACTTGGAAAATTCTGTTAAAAGATAATGCCTCTGACATGGCAAATCTTGTTGTTCGTCTGTATCTTAAACGGAATTGTTGCTGTGACGGCTACGCTGCTTGTCTTGAGGTTAACGGAGAAATCAGAGAACGAGTAGTTTGTGGGTCTCCCACATGGTTTCAGCCAATTCATGGCAAAGGCGAACTGTTCTCTTGGAAGGAAGCGGGCCATGACTTGGAAATAGTGTACAACAACATGAGAATATATACAGAAATGGTCCATCTCTTTGTAGACGGCATTGAATGGGAAACCAAATTGCCTTTTGATAAGTTTTGGAAATCGTTTGCTGTTAGGTCCTTTTGGTGGGCTTTCGCTATGCTAATGATGGCTGGAGGATTCTTTGGAGTAGGTATCCTGTATTTTATCGGCACAGGCATTGTCGTAAGCAAGTGGCTATCTTTGTTCCTTGTTGGCTTTGTCAGTTGCATAATTTTGGCCTTTATTCAGTGTTTTGTTGGGGCGGCTCTTCTAATACTAAGACCGATAAGATCGAGCGTGGAAAATTGCAGTGGCGTCTTGTCATCTGATCACGAGGTTTTGGTAGAAGACGACGAGTTGCAGAATAGACACAACCGTGAAGTTGCTATAATGGACATCGCTCTAAACAATGCGGTGTAATAAAAACAAAAAGGCCCTTTATTTCAACAGTGTTGGTAACGTTACATTGCATATAGCGGCGCCTTGCATATAGCCGGGGCGCCTAGCATATAGGGTCACTTTCCATATGAAAAGGCTATCAGTTGAATGATATATGATATGAATTATATGCCCCTGAAAACTAATACATAGAATATAAAGAATAAGACTGTGTGAATGTAAAAGATTGGAAAAAAATCGAACTAAAAATGTGGGATTGTGAAAATGTCCGAGTTCTGATTTCCGATTTCCGAGTTCTGATTTCCGATTTCCGAGTTCTGAAAAAATAAAATAAAATAAAATAAGATAATAAAAAATAAAAATAAAAATGAGAAAAATCATTGAAAAAAAGATTTTGCAGCACACTGACAAACTGAGTCAGACACTTCAGAATCCCAAGTTGACAAGTGTAGAGGGTCATAAAATAGCGATGCTTATACCGTTCAAACACTCGAAAGCTTGCGCACTGATCATGATAACTTTAACTTATTTTGGCAAAAAGTGGAAGAACGACGGGATGAATTTGAAGTCCGCGATGAACCAAAGTTGGCAAGAAAGAGAAAAACCCCGATAAGATTTGAAGCAGAGCAAGGGCACTAGGACACCGAACGTGGTTGGATTTCTAATTTTATTTTATTTTATTTWWTTWTTTTTTTCCTTTCTATTATTTGAATTAAATTAAACGTATATACTTGTTTACTTATCTCGTGTATTCCGTGTTCTGTCGCTGTCACAATTCAGACGTTTTCTTCCAAAGGTCAAATGGTTTGAATAGCCGATGAGCGTTACTTCTTTAACGACCGTATTACTTGACTCTGTTTGTACCTACAACAACGACGCGAACGCGCGATGCTCCTTACGTCAGTAATATTCAACCGTCCAGAGTTAATATGGTTAATCAAATTCACCTTAAGTTCCATATAGAGCTCTTTTTTCATATACCCCTCCCCCTCGAAAACCGAACCAATCAAAAGTTGGTGGCTACGGCTCTGTGTATACAATATTTATTGCAAGAATCTGTTATCAAATATAAGTATGGGAAAAGAGATGAGAGATGGTTAGTGTGTGACCATCATCTACCGGGTGGATGAGAGATGGTTAGTGTTTGTTCAGAGGGAGGGGGAATTGTATGCAGTTGTATGGGAAAAGAGATGAGAGTTGGTTAGTGTGTGATCATCATCTAACAAGGAGGGGGAGAAAGGGTTTGTATGAGTGTGGGAGAAGAGGGATTTAGTATTGTAAGAGAAATGAGAGATGGCTCGGCCAATTTTGAAAAGTTTCAAAACAAAAAGTGAGTTCGCGGTGCATCAAGGGAAGGAAGGAAAAGCGAAGCGATGTCACTTTTTCTCTCTCCTTGTCTCTCTCGTCGGTTCAGAGCCTCGCAAAGTTTTGAAATTTTAAAGGGCACTTGGACGCAATTCGCTCGCTCCAAACGTTCATGGGCAAAAGATCCCATCGTCAGATTTTTTTAAACCTTTGCTTGGTGAAAGTACATCATATTAGACGGTAAAATAAGCAAATAAAAGATGGGGGTCCCAGACTTCGTTTAGCCGTCAGAATGCGCGGACGTTCACCCTTTTTTACGGTAAAAATGTGCGAACAACGTTGACATGGAAAGCTGTCAAAAATGAAAAAATAAAATCGTCATCCCATCTTTCACAAAAGACTAGAAAATAACCGAATTACTAGTTAGCTTTTAAAATTTGCGTCAAAAATTAGAAATATAAAATGTTATTGTCCTATAAGTGTGGACTTGAAGTCTTCACTTGAAATTCTATTCCAAGTATAAAATATGTAATTTCGATTCGATCCTTTTGTCAGATTTTTCCTCTTAAGTTAAGTATTACCGAGTACTTTCAAAAAACGAAATAAAAAGGGGGGAGGCCCGTCTTCGTTTTAGATCTATAAGAGATTACAGCCACTGTAAAGATGTTTTTATGAGACTTTTCTTATCAAAACATTGGAATGACGTCATCACGATGAGCGCGAGCTCACTAAATTCATGGGTAGAGGTAAAGGATGCGCGCAAACCATGCCCATGAACGTCCTTAATTTCCATCTAATTTTCTCTCTGGTGCTACCAAAGCATTTTTTTWAAAATTTCGTTGCAGTAAAAAAACACAACTTTGTCGAACATTTTTCAAACAAAACTAGCCCCTGGGGTGGTGGTGGTGGGTTGTGTACATGTGACAAAATACAAATAACTCCGCCATGGCCGGTCCCAAGCCCGGATGAGAAAGGAGGAGGGTTGGACGAAGGGCTAGCAACCCTTTCCTGTAAAAACCCAAACACGCTACAGAAACATTACCAACAGAGAAACAATCAGCCTCTGTTGGTAATGTTTCTGTTATGGTTAATGTTTTCCTTGGATATGAATCTAGTGTATTTAATGATTTCTGTTACTAAGCATTCAGTGTGTTTTAATATCTTAGATCAATAGACCTCCTTAGGGGTTAAGGCCTATAGCCAGTGACAGTGCTTTATTTAACAGTAACGGCGTCTTTTAGGCATACCTTAACAAAGAGAAACAGTTTGCGTTAGTTAGACATGTTTTCACTTGGTTTTGCGGTTGGTTTTGCGGCTCGATTATAATTATGTATATTTCTGTGTTCATGAAGACAACTATTATATTATACTATTATAGGTACCAGCTCTTTAGTTTTTCCACTGTAACGGCCGGGTATTTTAGTTAACGTAAGAAAAAAGTATAAAGTTTGTGTTAGTTAAATTCAAAATCTTAATGAACTAGTCATGCAATTAAAACCCACACCCCTGTCACCCGGGATAGGGCAGTGAATAAAACATTCCTGTAGTGGCAAATCTAGCACTTTCTCTCGGTCCCCGGGAAAACATTTGCTGAGTAAAATCATTGAAGTTATTGTTGTTAAAATCGTGAAACGCGTTAAGTTCCTCGTATACCAGTGCATTCACGCAGTTAAATGCGCGTTAAATACCCGGTCTCGACGAGTTCATTACCCGCTCCGTCCCCGGAATTAGGGGGTGGGGGAGAGATTCAATTGACACGTGCATAATTAGGAGACAATTAGATAGGAGATCATTAGGATAACAATTTGACTATATAATTTCGGGCGCCGATAGGGACAATCAGTTCCAAACCCAATAAATGGATGGTTAACTTAACTAACTTGAATTTTTTCTGAGTCTTTCAATTTGCAGCTGCAAGAGTTGCTTCATACCGCCAACCGGTTAGCTCATTTGGTTGAGCATCGGACTTTCGTGCGGAAGGTCGTGGTTCGAGTCTCGGTCGGACCAACACTCAGGGTCTTAAAATAACTGAGGAGAAAGTGCTGCCTGTGTAATTTCATTTACAAATGGTTAGACTTTCAAGTGGCTCGAGTGACCACTTTAAATGGCGGTCCCGTCTCTCCACACTCATCATTACTAACCAATATCGGAGAGACGTAAAAGAACCACTGAGGGCGTAAAGAAACCCTGGCAGTGACCACCCTCAGTGCCCCCACTTCATACTAACCATCTCTTATGCTTGTAAATCGCACAAAAAGCAATCTGTGAATGCACAACTCAATGTAAAGAGCCTTTGATTATATTCATATAGAAAAGGCGCTATATAAATTCATAAATCATTATCATCATCATTATATACTGCGAGGATCAGCTCAATATGATACGTTAAATGATCTGTAATAAGCAAGTTAATTCGGAGTATAAGAATCATTTTCACATGTGCGCATGCAATTTTATCCCGAATTTCTCACCTTCTTTTATTTAAACCTTCTTTTGTTCTTAATTAAACAAAAGATGGTGAGAAATTCGTGATAAAATCGCATGCGCACTGAAAACGATTCTTACTCCAAACTGGCTTATTTCCTACGTATATACACACTATTAAAGTCACATTATAGTTCTCTAAAACATATCAAAGTTAATCGAGATTAATTGATTTGTTTTGTCTTCGTACAAATCGAATATTTTTTATTTAGTCTGAAACGACATACRTTATCCGGAATCACGAAACCAGCGAAAAATGGCCGGAAATTGGGCGCACGCGCGCGAACATTGTGTGCATGGCGCTAATTAGATAGCTACCTAATTTACGCCGGCCCAAGTCTGGGCCCTTGACCCTGCATGGTTGAGTGACTTGTTTTGATTGGACACTACCTCTTCAGCCTTGGCTAAGCCTGAAACCGACTTAACTAACCCCTTACCGGTAAAATAAAGCCAACGAAGTGATTGCATGTTAGTCTTGTGTAGCCCTTTCCTTGATTGGGTAACATATATTATTCATTACGTACATTATGATATACGACAAGACTTGAAATATAAATGGCTTCCCATTATAACTTTTTCAATTTTTGAAAAATGGATCAATGTAATAATGTTATGCTCACTGAATTACTCGGAAGTAAAAAAGGGAGTTTGCTTAGAAGCTCGTAGAGAAGCCACATTAGAGTAAAATATTAATATTCATAAAGGGAAAGATTTCGTATGGATTCCTAGCATGACTCGTCGCAAGAGAGCATACGTATATATGCTCTCTTGCTCGGCGTCATATTTGAGCTTTTTATTTGTCTAGTCTCTCCCTCGATTGATTTGAGGGTTTTCTCCGGGTTGTTCACTCCTCACCCTTCGCAAGACCTCAACGCAAAATTCCAACTCATGTCTATGAGTTAGCGGTATGCCCTGACTTTGATTAGCCCAGAGGCGGTTTCAGGGTATCGCACAAAATCTAAGGTTTTGAACAATGGGTAATTTACTTTACATGTTTACAGCACGTAAACGTAGTAGAACATGTCATAATATAAAAATATGACAAATGACAGCCTCGGATGCAATTTCAATAACACTCAAAACAGTATGACCTGTGAGCTATTTATTTTTTCCGGTTTTAAATGAATTTAAATCAATGTGTAACAAAATAAACTGTGATGATCACTCGATATAAATAATATAACTATATCATGGCATGATTATAGTGAATATCCTTTCGGTATTTATACCTAGAATTTTAAGACGAGGACCACCATCTGAGTGCATTAATACATGATAAGATGCAGAATTTTGCAAAGCCTTTCTAAAAGATAAAGACATTAAAATTTTTTGAAACACGCGTTAGCGCTAACACTACCACGCCTTGGAAGAATGTTGTTATTACAAACCTCAAAGAACGCTTGTCAACTAAATATTTTTCTGGAACACCGATTCATTGAATTTCTATTGATAATTTTTGAAATTCCTTGATGCGTCATGTACTGACTGTTTTGACTGTATTCATAAGAAAAGCCGTGAATATTAAAGCGGGTATGCTAAGCCACTTGAACGATAATGTTCATGCCAGTTGATTTTTTATTTTACTGTAATTAAGGATTCAAATAAGAAGGGAAAATCACTTGTTTACTAGCTGGTGGCAAGTGTGAAGTTGATATTTGAAATCGCGACAAAAATATATATACATATATATTTTTTCCATATTATACAGTCGCTCGCGAGCCGCCTTGGATTTCAATTACGGTTTATCTAACTACCACACAGATGGAGTCGGTAGTTTAAATACATCAAGGATATCGAAAATCTCGGCAAATCTTCGGAAAGCAATCGTGACTGGCCACCTATCGTCAATATCGTCCTTTTATGTAGATTTGAGTCTCCAGCAGGCCACACTGCCAGCACACGTTACTGAGAGAAAGATATATTCAAAGATTTAGAAATGGCAGGACGTAGAATCCTGATCGCGATTGATGGGAGTGAACACAGCGAAAGAGCCTTTGACTGTAAGTTTATTTCTAATCAAGTTCTTATGAATTTGCTCAAAGAGGGGAGCTAAGGAAGAAAGAAAACTATTTTATTCAATAACTCTCTTATGAATGTCAAATTTGAGGCGCCTTGGGATCCGACTTTGGTAATATTAATCAAAAGGTTATCTAGATTCAAATCAGTTTTATGATTAATCTTGTTGTCACCCAAATTTTCTACAGGTTTGAGCAACCTTACGGCGTTTTCCAAAACACAGTCTACTGTAGTACTGGGAATTTCCTCGCGGCATCCAACGATATAATAATTTATGTCGGACAATTCCTCGTGAATAATTTAAATCATATAGATTGATTTGAGCTAACTAGGAAAGTTCTGGAGGTATTTGATATAATAAAAACCTTATTGGTACGAGGAAAAATGATTTCCTATTTCAAGCCAAAATATAAGCAACCGAGCAACGAAATGTGGAGGGCTTTTTAAAAACCCGCCAGCTGATGCCTGTCAAAAATATCGCCTTCCGTAATAATCAATTTGCGTTAAAAGCTGCCATCGCATTCATGAATAAATGAGACTCCTTAAAGTTTTAAGTGACGGTACGTCTTCAAAATGCTGCAAAATTACCAATTGCACTAAGAAATCTGTATAAGCTCCCATTCATATCCAATTGTCGTATTTCTTGTCAGTATTTTGTAACTATAGAAGCAAAACAAAAAAAACAAAACGAAACACCTGTTGTGTTATCACCTGTTTTACATGTTCGAAAACAGCGACGAAAAACATTTCTCTGGGGATTCTCGGCTTTTAACATGGCCTCAATTTGTTTGTTTGTTGAATTCTAAAATCAATGAGGGTCCAATAAAACCTCGTAATAAGTAATTTCCGAGAATTAAGTTATTTCGGATCGGTTTGCCATTGCCGTGTGATGTGGGTTTTCACTACTTCACTTGACAAGAACATGCTTAAAGCCAGAGTATTCTGTGATTTATACAGGCATACTAATCGTTGCGAGTTTATTTGGCTTAATTCTTTTCTGTTTCATTTGTTTTCCTCATAGTCTGTGTGTCTGTGTAAACAAATCAAAATTATCAATAGTCTAAGCGTTTGAAGGGAAAGTAAAAGTTACTTTAGGCCGTCACTTGTAATTGAATGTACAACATCATCTTGAAGGAATAATATTAAAGGACATGATATGAATCGGCATTATATTGATAGACATGCAGAGCATAGCAACACAAACATAGTTTCAGTTAAATATCGATCATTCCTTTTTTGTATTTATTCAGTTATTTATGTATGTAAGGTGGATGTATTCGTGTAAAGTTTTTTTTTTTTTTTTTACTTCCAAAATGGAACATTACTTACCACCTTAAAATGTTTTGGATTTGTATTTTGATAAATAATTTTGATATGTTTTTCTTTTCATTATTGTTTTTTCCTCATCAATTTTAATGTTAATCATGTTTGTATTGTGTGTAAATTGTACGGAGAGGGAACATCAATTGGGACGAAAGTTCTGTTTTTTTTCGCCAGTCACAAAATTCGTTCAATTATACAAACAACTTCATGTGTCATATAAAAAAGGTTTTGAAATTCAAATCTGCCTTCAAACGTGAATGCAATATAATTAAGTTGTTTTTGGAAGCGGAGATGAAATCTGTAATCAAAAAACTAGTTTTATTATTTGATTTAAAGAAGCTAATCAAAACGGCTAAACAAATTATATAGACTGCCAAAGTACGGCATGTCTTTCAATCATTTCCTGTTTCGAATTATTTTGGTCATTCCGTGGTTCCTGTTTTCATGACATTAAGCCTCATTTCAATTACTTTTTCTCAAGTCAATTCTTGGGAATTACTGAACCAATACTGTTGCGTGGTAACTCTTATAATTGGTGTCAGCGTGGATATGACTGACTGACCGTCAGTTACTTAGCTTCCTTTAGTTTTCAGTGTACTTGCATGAAGTCCAGAGCCGACCACAGGTAGCCCAAGTTCTGTTTCTGTGAATTGTAGAAGGCGATGCATGGAGGTTTTTCAATAAGATAATTTTGATCTAGAAATATTAGAATAAATACTTCTTTCAGTCGTACTTATAACATCAAGAAACTCAAATTTTTTTAGCCCAGTCAAAATTTAATTAAAAATTACTTACAAGGCTCTAAGCGCAGCGTATTGAATGGTAACCTAAGTATCAGGCTCGCTTGGGGAGAAGGGGGAGGGAATAGGGGAGGAGGAGAGAGAGGCCTTTATTCCCCCCTCCTCCTTCCTCTCCCACTCCCCCTCGCCCCTTCCTTTCCCCTCTCCCCAAGCCCCCAACCACTCCCTAGGCACCCTGAAGACTGATACTCAGGTTAACTGAATGGCAGCTTAGTTTCTGCTTACAAACCAAATATAATTATAAAACATTTACATTAGCGATGTTTTCAAATTTTGTTTAATTTTCTCAGGGTATTGTGAAAATATTCGTCTCGAAGATGATGTACTCGTCTTTTCTCATACATTGGAACTTCCGCCCAAGCCACCAACACCTTTTCCATGTAAGTTATTAATGTGCTGCATGCTTTACTGAAGCTTGCTAGGCTTGGAATAAGCTGCTGTGTGGCACTGCTGAGTAGCTGAGTAGCTCAAACTGCGGGCGCTAAAGTTCCCGCCAAATCAGAGGAGCTCTGTGTTTTTAATTGTTTCTGTTATCTTGATCGATCATATGAATTTTAGCCCCTTTTCTTCCTAATCCCCTGAGAATGTCATTTAATTTTTCGCTCGAAAGTAGTAAATCTTGATTTCTCGATGATAAAAAAAACATTAAAAAAAGAAAAAATTATACCAAAACAAAAAAAAAAAAAAAAAAAAAAACAAAACAAAACAAAACAAAACAACAACAACAAAATTTGACAACTTTCGCATAAATAAAGCAAAAAGTAACAAGAAAAGCAGGAAAAAGCATGTTTTGTATGGTAAACTGAAGCAATATGGAAAAGCTATGGAAACCAGTAAACCTTTCCTGTGCACAATTTGGTTGGTACAGTGTTATGATAAGGATATTGATCATGTTTATTTATATTTTTCTCTCAGACGTCGAAGGATTCTACGAAAACTGGAAGAAAGAAATCGAGCTGGCACGAACCGAGAGCAGGAATATGCTTGCCAAGTACCAATATATATGCGAAGAGAGAAATGTAAGTTAATGTAAGAGGAACCGAGAGAGACAGCTTAGTCAAGACTACGATCTTCCATCTGATATGTAAGAAGAAGTGTGCTGTTTTGGGGGGCAAGGGGCAAGGGGAATGGAGGATCGTCCAGTGTTATATTTGTGACCATTTTATTGGCTCAAAACCGAAATAGGCAAAAGAAGTGCAAAATAAAATATTGGCCGAATGTTTGTTGGCTGACAACAAAATCCGCGGCTTGGCAACAACTTAAAGTTATTTGTTAATCCAGTTTTGGTTACCAAAGCAACTAAAGCCACATTTAGTATCAGACTGAAATGTCTATTTGTAAGATTTTTGGCTTTGAACAAATCAGAACTGATCATGACTTGAGAGGGATAATCGTATCTGACTTCCAGACAAAATCGTCTGATGAGATCCGGTAAACAACACCAGAAGGTTTTTTATGCGGGTTCGGCTCGCTCTTTATCAAACCTCTGTCAGTACAATACTTTGTAAGGGATATGTTAGAGCAATTGTCATCTTGCAGGACCCAATTTAGCTAGGGTTCCAACACCTCTTTGCTCAAATAACTCCAAAACTGAAATTCAAATTGCAGAGTTTAATTTTCTGTCTGTTTGCATAAGTGCTAAACAGCGTACTTGCAGTATATAGAAATATTAGTCACTAAGGACATCGAGCATTATAACAGACCTATGAGGCGGCTTACCATCGGAATCAATAAGATTGCGGGTCCCTATTTTGAACCATAGTTACGTTGTCTCTAAATATGGATTACTATGGGAAAAATTCAGTATGCCATATCACGAAGAACAATTACTAAATAAGCTACGCTGACTCTCCTTTCCACGCTCCGCGCACACACACGTGCCCAGTCCAGTCTCACGCGGGCCAATAACTGGGGGCTAAAAAGATTCTCGTGCCATATCGTTATCTAGTGATCCTTGCATTCAGGGCTTTAGAAGTCTGGGAATTCCATCAAGGCTACAAACACGCCAACTCTGAATTATCGTGGTACGGTTGGATTTGAACGAGAATCATTTTGAATATAATATTAATATTGAACACTCGCAACCGCAACACTAAGCAATATATCTGAAGATAATGGTGCTATTGAAAAGTAGTGATAACAAACAGCAAGGAGAAAGCTGAAGGTATCTGATGTGGATATCCAAACACCGAAAACAGGTTGTATGTGTCGACCTAGATCTAGACATGCAATGATTTAATAAAAATAGCTGAGAGAAGAAATCATTTTTACAGTCAAGTGATTTTCAAACCACTGACATTTTTAAGGGAAATTGAATCAAAAGATCGACATTGCAAAACCAACCTTTTCTGACATTAGTGATTTATTATTGTTAATTTGAGGAAATGCCTGACTTCATTGACTTGAAAGTCAAGTGTACGACTTCGTATCGCACTCAGTGTTTGATCTGTGGTATTTGGAAACATAAAATCGGTACTTAATTAAGTTGTGAAAATGCGTTTCGCTGATATATAACTCACACTATTCATTCACATTAATTTTATCTATACCCTGAAAGACCTGAATCAATCTCTGGGCTGATCAAACTCAGGGCGCGGCTAACTCACAGATTGAATTGGAATAATAGCGTGTTAGATCTTTTGCGGAGGGAGGAAAAACAAAAGAACGTATGATGCTGAGTCCAGGCACGTGGGTGCACCGCCCTTCGTAAAACTTAAAAATAAAGGAAAACATTTCCCCCAGTATTATAGGCTTAAACCCATCATACAACATTTGCTGTTTTATTTGCAGATTGAGATATTGAATGCAGTATACGATGAGCGGTATCAACCTGGCCCTTCCATTTGCAAAGTAGCAGAGGAAAACAACGTCTCATTAATCATCCTCGGGTCACGTGGTCTTGGCAAAGTGCGTCGCACATTTCTGGGGAGCATTAGTGATTATGTAGTACATCACGCACACCTGCCTGTCTGCGTTGTTCCACCGGCTGATCAAGATCCACAGCACAACAATCTCAAGGAAGAAAAGACGCGATCAAGAGACGCAAGAACACCAAGCCCGTTGCAAGAGCAACCGAAGGAACAGTCTAAGCAGGCTAAGCCGAAGTCAATTAAATCAAAACCAGAAACACAGCCAGAGTCAAAGCCAAAGCCTGAAGCAGACTCACAGTTACAAGGAGAAGAACAAGAAACAGCACCAGAAACAACTACATAGGAAAATTGACAAAGAAAATTACTTAGGAATTTGAACAATTTAGCCGATAAGTTAGGAAAGGTTTATTAATAATTGAACAATTTCGTTAGAGCTCTAATCAAAGGCGAACGTAAAGAGAGCCTTAAAAATCCAAACCCCACTGCCCCCTTTCTTAGGTCAGTTTTGTATTTTCGGTCAAGGTAAGTTTCGTTCAGGCTCGCAAAAACCAAACTCTTCCTTCAAATTCTAGCAAACCCTGAAAAAACCGGCTGATGAAAGTCAGGCCATGGCTTGGCCCACAGATAAAATTTGAATACGAACGTACCAGCAGAAAGCTGGACAGTTAACACCTTGGAAAGCTCTTGGACAGATCTTGACATGCCTCTATCATTGCAAGGTCACTGCCGTCCTTGCTTTGATGCACAGGCACAGCTACCTTTCAAGATGGCACAGGGAACTGGGAAGAGTTCTAGTCTATTCATTCTACAGTACGTCAGCAGAGAAAAGACAAACAAAATGCAGAATACAAGAGCTGTGAGGGTGCCTGGTGGGAAGGGGCTAGTAGGATGGTAAGGGTGCAGAGAATTCTAGTAGATCATACTGCCTTTCATATACTAGTTGAGTTTACTATCTATATTGTCAATTTCGCTTCTTGTTTTAGTTTTCTGCTTGAAAACCCTTTTTTCACACACTTATTGTAATAGTATTTGTATTTATCCTCAATGAATTAAAGAATACTATTATTACCAGTAAATGCAAGGGAAGAGTTAAAGCGCCATACATTGATTAATTAATGAGAAGAATATTTTAATCTTCTTCTCAATAATATAAAATAAGAATTTTAAAATATTCTTCTCAAGGGAACTGTTACTGCCATTGCAAGACATTTGGTACTTGAGGCAGTACCTGTCAGGACATAACAAATTATGAGACTTGAAAAAATTACACACAAGAAGGTCCAAAAGAAATTTTTAATAAGGTTTAAACAATCATGCTTTTTATGTCAACAAATATCGAGTTATTAATTTATATTGTTATGATTAAAACTTGCAATCTACAAAGCTATGTCATAATTTCCTTAAGCATTAGCTATTCTGAGGTTGAGGAAAAGCATGGGTCAAGTTGGAATTACAGTGCATCAGGGAGTTTTTAGGGGACGAAGAAGGCACAGTCCCACAATGCACCATAACCCAACCAACTCAACCCAGTCTTTAACTAAGCAGTTTATTTTGCACTAATACAGGATAGTGCATTTTTTGTTTTATCAGTGCTATTTATAAATAGAAGAAATAAACTGGGAATTAACAGCGGTTTCACAGATTAATATCTCATCTTCTAAGATGATTTTTGGAGAGGGAGAAAAACCAGAGAAAAACCCTTGAAGTGCAGGAACGAACAACTACTCACGATGATTGCCAAGTACTGGAATCAAACCTGGGCAAGAGGGCAGCATCCTCACCGCTTCACTATCTGTAGTGCTCATTATTTATTACTGTTTCATGGAAATAATGTTTGCACTCTATTATAATGGCATAAACCTAATCAAACACAGATCCTATAGAAAGCTGCAGATTATTATTATTAGTAAACAGCAATAGAGCGACCACAGTAAATCCATGAACATTTAGTAATACTAAATAGCACAATTTCATGCAAATTCCCTTGTTTTCTATTGTTTAACTAGCCCTATTTTGTTCTATTTAGTAATAGCTCAGTGCACTGATTCTAAAAATAACTTAAAGATTCGGACAAACATTGCATTCTGTTTAACCGCTACGAAGAATTTACGAACCGATTTTATTATTTTTACTTAAAGTTACAATAATAACCCATGTAAACTAAGATCAACTGYGATCGGCTGTGAAAATTATCTGCTGAAAGTAAACTTGTAAGTTTGTTTGTCCGAATTTCGCCTTTGTCTTTGTTTTTATGACATCACCGTTGCGCTGCGCTATTAGTGTTTCACTGATTTACTGTGGTCACTCTAATGGCATAAACCTAATAAAACACAGATCCTATAGAAAGTTGCTGATAACTATTATTAGTAAACAGCAATAATCTAAATAATTTTGCTTATACCAATTATGATTATTAAACTAACAATTTTATTATTATTATAATTTAAGATTGTATAAGAGAACATTAATTTATTGTAGGGAGGGGAGAAGATGAGTGAGAAATATAGCAGGGGGAGAGAAATGCCGAAATTGTCATAATTCCTTTGAAATGTACTCTGAATTGCAGGAGTAGGGAATCAGATGAACCTTGGAGGTGAAGGGGTTCATCTATTTCTCATCCGTCACCCTTCTAAATAATGTTCCCTTATATACATCTACATACATTTTTCTATAAAGTACATGAAACTATATACTTGATACTAAACATTAATTAAACTGTCATTGAAATGACCTAATCATTCAAATGTCATTAACTAGAGGCCTGTTTTCACTCTTGTTTTGTGGCAATTTTGTCTTTGTTTTGTGAATACTACCAGGGGCAGAATCAGGATTTTTTTTAAAGAGGGGGTTCTGCATTTAAGATGCATCCACATGTAAAAAAAAAAAAATCAACCCAACCCCCCCCCCCCCCCCCCCCCCAAAACAAAAATTCATTTTGTTTAAATAGAAATCAAAATTCTCATTGGAGGGTTGCAATCCCTAAAACTGTCCCCCTGGATTCACCCCTGCCTAACTCTAAAGTTTGTTGAGTGAACAAGTTTTTATCAAACTCTAAATAAAGTAAAAGTCTAAAATCATTGCAAGCATTTTCATAACTACATGACCCAAATAGGTGGCTATAATTCAAGAATAATTTGGTTTTTTCACTTTCATCAATCAAATTTCCATTGAGCTGCGTTTGTTGATTGGCAGAAGCCAAGAACCCAGATATCTTGAGCTGTTTTGGTCAAGTACTTATGAAAATGGGAGTAACTTTTTCATGAAACAAGCTATCAGCTCTGAGAAAAGCACTTCTAATTCTCATCTCAAGTTTTAAATGATAGTAAGTATTGCTTGAGAATGTCTAGCATAGTCCAATGAAAAGATATAGGTATGAAATAGATAGGTTTATACTGTGGTGTGTACTATGTCAGTTGCTACTCAGAATGGTACATAACTTCTCTGAGATAYGGAACCTGGTGCATGGGCCTAGCTTTGGTACAAAGATCTTTTGTTCATCAAACTCAGAAAAGGCCTATGGTGGGAAGCAAAGTTGACAAAAATAAGGTAACGCTGGGCCTGGAAGTGTTAAGAAAACACTAAGGTTGTTATAGCTTTTGTTATGTTTCATTGAAATTTCATGAAACTTGGTAATGTTACAACTTTTTCAACACTCCCAGGGCCGCCTGTGTGTAGTGTTAATAAAGTGTGGAATAATAGGGTGAAAAAATAATCTTAATTTATTCAGTGACCTCACATTTTAGACTGGAGATTCTAGACTTGAACACATGGATTAGGTAGACATTCTTTATAGCTGTTTGATGTTTAGACCAAAAGCTGGATATCCTCTGGTATGTTTGCCTTCAACTGATCTATTTCTTGAACCAACTTTTCCATCTGCACTTTAAGCTCATAATTTTCATTGGCCAGCTCCTGAACTTTGTCAAACAGTGCTCTCTGCTTTCCTTTTCTAACCTTTCTGAATTTCTTGGAAGCCTGATTGTTTCGGATTCTCTTATCCAAAGTCTTCATGAAACTGTCCATTGGTGGTGATGATCTGCTCTTTCCTTGTTTCCTTGGTCTTGCTTCTTTGGCAGATGCAAATGGATCTAAACTCTCTAATCCAGCAACCTTATCAGAGGTACTACTACCAGTATCTATTGATTCCACATCCTCGTCTGGGGACTCAAGTATATCAGTGGAGGATGGTAGGTCAAGGTCTTCAAATGAAGACTCAGGCAAAATTAATGGGCTTTCTTTCAAGTTACTAATGAATGCTGGTACTTCTTGAATAAATTCTGTTTTTTCATTCAATAGGTTCAGGCAACAACCAGGAGTTTTCAAAGAATCAGAATCATCAAGGTTTGTCAATATACTTTCCAGTTCAGCAACTTGGTCAAAAAATGGTTGGCCATAAGAGCCTTGTTTCCAACCAACCCAGCCATCTCCTTCCCTCTCTTCTTTGTCTTGACTCGAGATCTCTAGCAAGTCTGTAAAGGGAAGTGGAGAGGCCAAGCCAAAAGCCCCTAAAAATGTTTTAAATAGATAATCATTTAGCAGTCATTAGATTTAGTGCTCTTTGCTCTAATTTATAATTCCATGAATTTATCAAACCCTGAAACAACCTTTAATTGAAATATAGTATCATTGTTGGGCCTTGCCAGGGAAATAAAACCAGAGACCCCAGAGAAAAACCCTTGAAAAAAAGAGGGGCTTTGCAAACACTACTCACATGTGACTGTGAGCCCAACGATTAATTCAAGACCCCATAGATGACAGGCAAGTGCACTGCTACTAAATCACCCTTGATTCTACATTGCCAAAAAATGTCACAAAAACAGAATTTAATCAGATTGCATTTATTAGCAATTAACAACACAGCCAAAAAAAATGTCAAAAAGAACCCGAATTTAATCAGAGGTCTCATTTATTATCAGTTATCGACACAACCAAGGTGTCAAAAATAAAACCAGAACTTAATCAGAGAGTATTTATAATGAATGATATTTTCCCAATTTAATTGTAAACCGAGAATATTATAAACCCATTGACAATTGGNGGGGGGGGGGGGGGGGGGGGTGGTGAGTCAGAACTGACGTGTTCTGCTTTACGAGGTATTCTTTCCCTTTTCATACTAAAAATATGATCCACACAAAAACAACTTAAAGAATTTCATAAACGAAAAATGACTTACCATTGTCAAATACAACGCCTGGATTCGTAGTGGCAAGGAGCGCTGTAACGATATTCATCGTGCATCGCTGTCCTTTGACTTTGAATGGCCGCCATATTGCCATTCTTCTCCGCCGTTAAAACAGAGTGGGAAGTCTTCATTTTCTTGTTTTTACTCTTCGGACCGAATACTGGGCTCTTTAGGTGCATGTCAGCTAAGTTTCGTTAAGGTTTCTAAAGCGAAAAATGATAGAAAAATGGCTAAATTTCTCTCCTTTTGAGAATCTTTTACCAAAGCTTTTCAAGACTTTGACCAGGATGTGTGACGTAAACGATATGACGTAATGACCGTGAGGTACTGGGATTAGCGGTAAGAACGCCTGGGAGGATTTGACATAAGTAAGCAAAATTATTTTAAAAGCTTTATAACTTCTAGATCTAGAAACGAAAAGTATGAATAAGTCTAATATTTCAAAGAGTAAGGAATTTATAGAAAAGGAGAGGAAGTCCCGAGAAGGTCTTCGACTTTCAATCGAACGAGAGCTTGTTGGTGATATGATAAGGTGATGCAAATCGTTTACTTGAAGCATTGAAGCATTTCGTTTGATCATCAAGTGTAAGATTATCATATGGAGTGTGATTTTTGATCAGCGTTGTGCTAGATTAATAACGATAAGGAGGTTTACTCATTTTTTCTCATATACAGAGGCAAAAAATTTATGTTCCTTCCAAATTGGCAATATTATATATTTGAATCATTATGTCATAAATTATATATATTACTCCTCGTCACCCATGTATATTTATTATGAAGATATAACTAGCTAAAAACTAGTGTGAGCTGCGTCGGTGTTTCTAATGAAACAGTAATGATGAAAAGGTAAATTATACACCGTGAAAAGATGAAAAAACTTACTGACGTTTCGGACGCTAGTCCTTCGTCGGAGTAAAAGATTTATTATGATTTATTATATAGCTTAGATAGTACATGCSCTCTGATTGGTCCAGTTCTGTGTTTTATATCAGTGAACATAGACTGTTGCTGATGCCAAGTATGCCCGGGAACATTTACTGTAGTTGTACTGTACTTAGTATATGTTTGACTAAGTAGGTAGCCTTATGCACCTATAAAACGGCATGGAGAGTCTTGAAAGAAAACAGAATTAAGGTAGTGGGAATAGAATTTCTAAGGGTGTTGAAAATGTATGAATGCATAAATCATAACGTTATACTGATCATGATGAGGCTTGTAGAGCAAAATATAGTTTGCTGTTAAATATACCTAAATTATAAATGGAATATTCCTATTAAAGTATATTGATTCTTTTGAAAAATATTTTTTAATAGGTTGCTAGATGATAAGCTATACTGTGATATAACATTTATTATTGACGATGATGATTTTCCTGCACATGTTGCAATTTTGTGTGCAAGGGCTCCTGCGTTCAGCCAGAAGTTTCTTCCTCAGCTCCTTACACCAACAGCAGTACAATCATGTATTTACATTCAGAATATAAAACCAGAAGAATTTTCAGTTTTTTTAAGGTTCGTAATTCTAGTCAAAATCGTCAAAAACATGAAAAATATGGATGTGTTTAGTATATCTGTATTTTCATGGGTCGTGTGGCAGTTAAGTGCAATTTACTTGGTATCCCATCTGAGCAGAGTTTACTGTTGGGGTCTCCCACTTTGCTTGTAGGTTTTTCCATGTTCATTATCCATGTTCATTTTTCCATTGTTAATTCCAGTTTAACGCTTATGACCCTAGTTTAAACCAGTGTCATAATTATATTCTCAAAACAAGGGAATGACACATGGCATGGAATGAGAATTTTAAAAAAATGACAAAGAAGATTAAGTTGATTTTACTGATTTACAACTATGTTGTGTTTGGCTTAGATCAGTATACACAGAAAATATAGTACAAGATTATTCTGCAAATGAATACCCTTGGACAGAAAAAGTGTCTTGGTTCTATCCAAAGGATGAAGTCCAAGCTGAAAAGTATGAGATGTCTAATGGATTAGAGGACAGCATAGAGGAGAGTGATATTGTTGATCAAACTGATCATAATGGCATGAACAAAACTAGCAATGAAGAGAAGTTAAAGCCAGAAAAAGTAGAAATTCTTTCATGTGTTCAAAGAGAGAATATTTATGAAATGTCTTCTACATATATATTTAATGAAAATGGAAAAGAAAGTGGCTCTTATGAGGAGGTAAAAGAGCATGATTGTGAAATAGCCAATGATGAATGTCAGCCTTCAGAACCTGGTGCCAAAACTAAAGAAGCAAAGAAAGCAGGTAGACTGAATGGAGAAGAGGTGAACTTAATTGAAATGGAGGTTTGTCTTATTTTGCAGTTATCCTTTCTTCTCTTTGATTAACTATCATCTCATCTCTATATAACTGTAGTAGATGTGTATATTAAGGTCTCCAAAGCATTCAAAAGATTTTGTCATTAACAGAGTGATATGTGTCTAAAAATGTAATTCTGTTATAAATGTCTTGCTTGCTTCTATAAACTTGGGAAGCACAGGTGGCGTGGCAGTGACAGTGCTCACCTCCTCATAGCATCCCGGGTTTGAATCCTGCAAGTCTCAGTTTTGTATTCCATCAGAAGTAAAGTTGTTTCTTGGTGCTCTTCTGTGCTCCGAGGGTTCTTGTTTGGGTTCTCAGGTTTTCCTCCCTCCACAAAAAATAATTGTCTAAACTTCCAATTTGATCATGGAACGAAGGCCACAGGTTTTGTTAGCCACTGGCTAATAAGTGCTACCTTTGTGAAAACAAGAACGTTTTTTTATAAGAATCTTGTCAAAATCCTACAATTAATATTTATTGGATCCTCATTCATTAAATTGATAATACTTATTACATATTTCCACTCTCAAGGCATGTTGTAAGATTGGAGAAGATCTTCTCAGGCTTGTTAATGACTGCAAAACTAGTGATATCACCTTCCTTCTGAATGGCACTGAAAGAATCAAAGCTCACAGGTAACAGTCTCTGAAATGATCAAAAGAAAGCTATATTTTAGATCCGTACTGTATTTTGTCTACAAATGTGTTCTTTTTGTTGCATAATGTTCAGGTCTATACTTTGTACTCGTTCAAGTTACTTCTCAGCAATGTTGTATGGTGGATGGACAGAAGGCCAAGCTCATGAGATTCCTCTACATGGGTAAGAATGTTGCTCCAGTAGACTTTGGTGGATGGGTGGGGTGAGGAGTTTGCGATACTCCTAGCCGGACCAACACTCGGGGTATTAAAATAACTAAGGAAAAGGTGCTGCCTTTGTAATTACATTTGAAAATGGTTAGACCTTCAAATCTTTTTGAATAAGGATTTAAAACCATGGGTCCCCGGCCCTCTGTCTTCTTCACTATAACTTTGTATAAAGTGGACATATAAGACCCTATGAACATGAGACGCTGAGAACAACCATCATCAATGCCTTTGCTTATAATTACTAGAGTTTCCCCCTCCCGTTCTTCATAGATGAACGCGTAAAAATTTATGTCTGAAGTAAAATCTATGTCATTTAGGATCCAAAGCTCAAGAGCTTTTCTGGCTGTGCTGTACTATTTATATGGGGGAATTACAAGACTACCATTGGAGATAGCAGACATTTGGTATGGTAATTTAAATTTTGTGTATCATAAACCGTCGTATTTCAAACTTCAGGGGTGCCGGAAAGCCAGCAATTAATTCCTGTTTTAAAACAGGGGTATGTGCATCTGTCATTCCTATCGGAAAGTTCCCCAGGTTCTCGGCTCTTCAGGTAGACGCGTATACCTTTTGTCCGGCGGACTGGAAGTTAAAGTTTCCCGCTGTTTTCTTACCATTAGAAACGAATTTCCAACTGGATGGGGCTAAGCATGCTTTTAGTGCATACTAGTTCCAAAGYTCATAAAGAAAAAGCGGAAAAGCCTTAACGGGCTTAGAACATTTTTTCTTAGAATTTTGTGTAATGGTCTTCTTTGCTTGCAAAACTTCCGGGAGATGATACGCGCATCTATCGAAGCGGGAAATGTTGACACGTGCGCTTTGCAAAAAAAGCGGGAAAAGTGGCAGCACGACTGAGCTCAGTTTCCGATCTTTCCATTCAAAATGATGCCATTTGTTTTTTGTTTCAGCCAAAAGGTTTTCGCGCCAAACATTATCAGCAGGCAAATTATAGTTTCTTCTAAAGGCTACGTGTGAGGTTAATTTTAGGCATGTGCCATGTATTTTTTTTAGCGAAGTGCTACGATTGTCTGACATGTACGGTCTGGAGGGATTGAAAGAAGTTGCCTCTTGTCAGCTTAGGATAGAAAAATGTCATTTATTCCATAAGGTAGGTGTGTAAAAAGAAATGCAAAAAACTATTCTACTGGTATAGTGGTATCGAGCATCAATACTGAGTTGAACGGAAAATTCATCTTAATTAAAATCGTTCTTTCAATTTATATTATTTCAGCCTTGCTCAGAATGCATTGCTGGAGTGATTGACTGCCTAGATGTATCGGATCTGTTTCAACTTCCGGATCTTAAATCACAGTCTTTAAGGTGAGACGGTGGCTGTCTTCAATTCACGTTATTTCTTAACAGTTTAATCTATCAAGTTTCGTCCGGCCCCCAACAAAATTGCCATGCATTAAAAACCAGGAAGCTGCTTTACCTTTTTGATGCACTATGTAAAAGGTCAAATTCATTTTTACAGATGGATTGTCAAGTACTTTGACCGGGTATATGGAACGAAGAATTTTGCAAGTTTAAGCAAAACCTTGCAAGAGGAAACCCTTGCTCTCATTCAAAGTACAATGGTAAGTAATGCAGCAAACACTTGTTAATAACGGCAACAGCAACAACAGCAGCTACAATACAAAAAATATCAACGTCAGCAACCACAACAAGAAACATATATAAAATAAAATAAATTAAAATAATAAAATAAATCTTTTTTATACACGGTTTAGGCTTGCTTTAAAGCTAGAAGCTTGTGGGGCCGTGTGTCCTTCATACAGACCCCTTACTACATTCAAATATTCTATACACACAGTAAGGCCAACTCACATATTGATATTTATGGAGGGAGGAAAACCGGAGAAACTGGAGAAAAATCCTCGCGGCACAGGAGAGAACAACACATCAAACAAACTCAACTCACATGCGGCGTCTTCACAGAGCTCAAACCAACGACCCGACCTGTTGGACTCACAGCGGCAAAAGACGACGCATTAGCAGCATACGCCACCCATGCCACAACAGCAGCACTCCAGCAACAATGCAAACAATAACAATTTCAGCAGCACTATGAGGAGCAGCAACAATAACAGCAAATATACTGACAATACAAACTAACTATACAAACTAACTATACTGAAAATACAAACATTAACAAAAGGAGTTATAGACAAGAAACTGGAGCTGCAACACACGCTGAACAAACACACACACAAAAAAAACAGTAAACAACAGCATCAGTATAATCAGAAACATCATCAACAAAAGTAGTGAGGGACAGTTGCAATATTTGATTAATAACATCAATGAACAGTGTTTGCTATTAGCCGCGCTCCTACTGACTCTCATGCAAGTAATAAAAAATAGACCTTTTTACCTTGGCCGTAATGTTTTCCCATTTCAGACCACGTCATTCCCTAGGATATGAATTCTTTGTTTAACGATTGTACATGAGAAGATATGAATCTTCTCTCCCTCAAGGGAATGACACGTGGTCTAAAATGGGAAAACATTACGCCCCAGGCAAAGAGGTCTATTAATTTCCCACCGTGATTTCAGAGTTCTTCAAATGTGTTGGATTTGTTCAGTCGCGGGGAGAAGCTGTCATCAAGTATTCCTTGCATCAAGTGGACAGAACCTGTGATGCCTCTTGTCTCTTCTCACATGGATTCCTGTTTATCTTACATTGCATCAAACTTTCCTGTAATCGCAAGGCAACAAGCCTTTTTAGATATGTTGAAGGTATGAAGTCAAATAGAGGAATTCTTCAGTTTTGGATCAGTCTATGTTGCTCAAATTAAAGTTAACTTGTGTAGAAAAGATAATGACTAAGTTTTTTTACTTGACTAATTTGTTACTATTTGGGAATAAGCGAATTAGAAGGTAACTGAAAAGAGTAAATGACGAAGAACTAACGCTCCGAAGCGTCATTACAGTTCAAAACTCTCTTGCCGTGTTTAAATGACCTTCTTGTTTATTTTTTGTGTAGAGTAATCCATGTGTTAAAATGATGACATCGCTGATGATGTCGTAACGTCGATCACTATTATCGCTTATTTTCCTAGTACATTGCTAAAGCTGTGCTTCCAGTTCTTTAGTCTGGGAAAGGGGGAGGGGGCTGCACTCTTACACCTACTCCTCCTGTGCCTTTGGGAAATTTTGAAAATGACCCCTAGTTTATAAGCTATCAGACTCTTGTTCAGATGGGCGTGGTCATTAATGATCTTTACTTCTAAAAGGTACTGATCTAATTGACAAAAATCAGATGATGAACCGAAAATACATTACGACTGCCATTCTGGCTGTCATTAATCAGTATGATCTCAGGTATCATATTACCTGAAAAACATTCTTAAGGTAGCGGCTTACTCTCTCGTGGCCCTTTAAGATTTGTGGCCTTTAAGATTGGTGGCTTAAGAGGTGCCAAATTGCGGATCTGGAACTCTAATGTACGACGAGCATCCCATCCCTTTTCCAATCAGAATTCCTTTCTCCCCGGTTTTTTACTTTACAGCTGGTATTCGTAAATATTTTGATGTTGAAATTCTGTAAACGTTATAGTAATGCATCTATCCGGCAAAGCAGAAAGGACACCACCCCTCAAAAAAACGACTTTCAATTCGAAATTTTTATGAATATTTGTTTTTTATTTTAGGGTGTAGGCTGGTCAACCCCATTACTGGAAAAAATTTTAAATTCGGTTTGCAAACATTTAACTGTTAACAACTGTTGCGAACAGCTTAAAGAAGCCATGAGACTTCAAAATATTCTCAACGCTGCTGTTTCTGAGGAAAGTTTTGAGAAAGAACAATTTTCTGAGGTTTGTAAGAAAAGTTTTTACCAAATTTGTATGTGTGAAAATCCGTTATATGGAACATGTATTTAATATTTTTAAAATGGTTTAGGAAGTTGGAATTTATTTTAGGGATTTTACAGAGGGATATGGCTTCAGAGAGGATCTTTAGAAATTTGGACTTTTGTGAAGGATCAAACCTTTTTTTAAATTTAATTGACGGAAGCTGTTTCCTTGTTGACTTAATAAGAGGTTCATGCGTTTCTTACTGAATGAAAAGGGAGGGCTACAACCATTAAAAAAAGTTACTGAGAATCCCCGCGCCTCCTCAACACCCCTCCCTCCCCTTTTCACTCCCTCCCCTCCCCCTTCCCCTCCCCCC